GGGTTCAAAGCAATCCTAGTGATCCGATGCATTTTTGGCTTCAAAAAGATTCAAATGCAATCTAGAAGTCACTTCGTTAATGAGTCCCAGAACACTTGCAGGTTCGAAGCCTTTTGGAATCGATGCACCAGAACCATGGGCGTGATGAAATCTAAACAAAGGACTTAATCCCGAGGATGGTGGGTGGAAATAAATTCACTCTTCGATTAAACTAGCCTATACCTGGGTCGAGGTGGCACGACTTAGAGGTTTCCTAAGACTCGGCAATATTTGCGGTAGGGCGTTTTCTTGAACTACCTATGACCCTTCTGCGACAGGACGTCCTTTGGGACTACACCTGACCTTTGGAAACCATTGGTTAGGTGTGGCTAAGAAGAATGGTTCACTGAGATATTGATCTACTCTTTGGGATTTTTCTTATCCTCAGAAAGGTAACCTCTTCGAACAAAGTGGTTAGAGAGAATATGTTACCCTATATCATGAGGTGCCTATAAATAACACCCACCCATAGCTTCACAATGGGGATGATTTTTGGAGAGATAATTTTTGGGGAGAGAACTAATCTCTCTTCTTCATTATCTACCTTGAGAGTGAAAGTGGGAGATCCATGGGAGAACCTTGCCATTATTCTCTCTCTAACTATTTTGTCTTCTTCTTCACCCAATCTCTTATCTCCATCATCTCTTTCATATTGTGTTTCTAGTTGCAATTGTTGAAGAATCTAAGCCTCTCTTATCATTTGTAGAGAATTCGGATTTTCAAGCGATCTTTGAAGATCTTCAAATTTTCCGGCAAATCTTCGAATTTTCCGGCAAACCTTCAAAGTTTCCGGCTATTTTTCTGGTGACATTTGAATTTTCTGGCAACGTTCTTGGACCCTCACATACAATCGGAAATCAAAAATAGTTGTACCAATATGTCAAACAATTAATTGTTAAAAAGACCTATCTGGTGGTGAATTGGCTCATCTAACACATTCAATGTTTTCATTCTTGCGGCTTTGCACATTGTTCATTTTGTGTCAATGTATTGGAATGACAAATAACATTATTTACAAAACTTAGCTACTTGCTAGTAGTTGTTACAGTAGCTGCATATTAAGGTGGTTCAGACAAGATTGTCATCTGCATGCACTAAACATTATATAAAGGATGTCAAAAAATTAATAATAGGTCGGAAAAACTACCCAATTGTAAAAACTTGAGAGAAAATCTCTCTCTCTCTCTCTCTCTCTCTCTCCCTCACACGCATGCACACAACACACATGCACACATAACACGGGAAATTACTCTGCAAGGTTTATATACTAAAAAGTTTTTGCTTTCTGCCTTACAACTTACGTCTTCAGAACGAAAGCAGTGGACTATACACTGGGGATGGTTCAGTTGACATCAAGGGGCAACCTGTGTTGAAGAGCAACACTGGAAACTGGAGAGCATGCCCCTTCATTCTTGGTAGTTGCTAAGTCCATCATTCTCCATATTTTTTATGTTTCTGATGTTCCATCTTTCCTTCTAATATCTGTATATTTAAAACAGGTACTGAATGTTGTGAACGTTTAGCTTTCTTTGGGATTGCTACTAACCTAGTCAGCTATCTCACCAAAACAATGCATGAAGGAAATGTCTCTGCTGCAAGAAATGTTTCCAATTGGACAGGCACTGCCTACCTAACACCGCTTATCGGAGCAGTCTTGGCAGATGTATGTTGGGGAAGGTATTGGACAATTGCTGTCTTCTCTGCAATTTATTTTTTGGTAAGTATGAACTGAAGTTCCCAATGTTCTAAATACTTAGTTCAGAAAGAGATGGGCGATGATGCCCCTTCACTGGAAACTGGAGAGCATGCCCCTTCATTCTTGGTAGTTGCTAAGTCCATCATTCTCCATATTTTTTATGTTTCTGATGTTCCATCTTTCCTTCTAATAGCTGTATATTTAAAACAGGTACTGAATGTTGTGAACGTTTAGCTTTCTTTGGGATTGCTACTAACCTAGTCAGCTATCTCACCAAAACAATGCATGAAGGAAATGTCTCTGCTGCAAGAAATGTTTCCAATTGGACAGGCACTGCCTACCTAACACCGCTTATCGGAGCAGTCTTGGCAGATGTATGTTGGGGAAGGTATTGGACAATTGCTGTCTTCTCTGCAATTTATTTTTTGGTAAGTATGAACTGAAGTTCCCAATGTTCTAAATACTTAGTTCAGAAAGAGATGGGCGATGATACATAAACAACTTCAGCTCTTTAATCATTGCTTTGATCCTTATTTGTGTTGGGCAAGCATTACGTCATCTTAAAGTTTTCTGATAAAGGCTTGCTTGTTATTTGAATGTTCTTGTAGCGTCCGATTATGTGTTACCTACAGCTTTCTGTTGGAACCATATTGGCCTATTGTCGGGCCACAATCCATTCTAGATGCTCGTGACTTTATTAGTTATTGGTGGTATTTCCTAGGTGTACCCATCATCTAGTCTGGTATCACTTGAATGTATGAATCACAGTGGTAGTGGTTTCAAGAATAATGAGTTAGCAGTCAGCGACTTTACCAACAGCGTGGTGCAATGGCAATAGACCTAGTTGTGCCAATTAAACTGGGAATTTATCTATAAGGATAAAAGGACTAATAATCTAGACATTTTATTAAATCAGGAACGGGAGAAGAATTATATGTGATGAAGGTTGTTTGATCGGTTGACTACCCTCTTTTGTGAATTTTATTACTTTGTTTTACCCCGTCTTCTTTTCTGATAATAATTTTATGGTAACTCTCAGTTCTAGAATGTTTTATTTCACAAGTATTTTTATTACTTAATTTGAAAACCGGAAAGGAAGTTGGAACAAATTTATGGACAAATTTAATGTTCTGAAAGTGATTTGGATCATGTCCCAGTTGGGGTTTTCATATTAATTATGATCCATCCAACTTATCCATTGTTGTCGAATTGTGAATTGTTTTGCTAAAATAGTGAACTGTGAGATTCATTTTATTTAATATGATTTATGATTTTATATTTATAAACATATAAAATTACACATAATATTTAAAATGAAGTAAATATCAATATAAATAAATTGTATGTCTGTATATACACATAAAATCACATATAACTAATTGATCTCTTCTATATATCTTGATAGTTTGGCAAAAATGACATCGATTTATGCATTATGTAAACAAAATAAAAAATAGACATGATTTCAATGAATTGCAAGTTAAGTCGTACAATTCACTCAATTTCCGACTCAACAACACAACTCAAGTCATTTTTGTTGAAACTCATGTCGAGTCGTATGAATCAAATAGTGAATCGTACGATTCTGGAAACTATTGTTTTGAAAAGCGCACCTAAGCGCGCGCCTGAGCTCAAGGCGAGGCAAGGTGCAGCTCTGTGCCTCATGCATAGCAATACACATAAAATCACATATAACTAATTGATCTCTTCTATATATCTTGATAGTTTGGCAAAAATGACATCGATATATGCATTATGTAAACAAAATAAAAAATAGACATGAATTTCAATGAATTGCAAGTTGAGTCGTACAATTCACTCAATTTCCGACTCAACAACACAACTCAAGTCATTTTTGTTGAAACTCATGTCGAGTCGTATGAATCAAATAGTGAATCGTACGATTCTGGAAACTATTGCTTTGAAAAGCGCACCTAAGCGCGCGCCTAAGCTCAAGGCGAGGCAAGGCGCAGCTCTGTGCCTCATGCATAGCGAAGCAAGTCGAGGCGACATAGAGGAGGCGCAGCTGAGGCGATGAGGCGTGCACTTTTTTCTGAGGCTTTAGGCATGCGCTTTTGGCGCTTCATGTTTCTTCTACTGCTAGAGCCCATCTGGTTTTGGTGTGAATACCCACATGGAATAAATTCTCATTTACAATATAAAATGATCAAAATGTGGGTCAAAAAAGCAAACGCGATCTCGATCTCTGAGACGACGAAGGTTCGACTCTTGTTCTGATCTTTGAGACGACAATGGCAGCGGAGACGACGAAGGTTCGATTTTTGTTCTCATCTCCTCTGGTACGACTTTTCCTCTTCTCTCTCTAGTCGAAAAAAACCCTCATCATCTTCTCTCGCTTTTGTCTCGCTCAATATCGCTCTCTCTCTCGCCTTCTCTCTCTCTTTCTCTCGCTTCTGTCTCTCTATCTATCTTCTTGATTCATATATATATATATATAATACATTATATGATACCTATTATATAATATATAATATATAATATACTTATAGCTAATATATAAAATATAATTGATTCATATATATATAATATACTTATAGATAATATATAAAACATAATATATACTTATACATAGTAATAAAAAAATAAATAAACACATGTATGTAAAATAAAATAAAAAAATTAATTGAAACACATTATTTAAAAAATATAATAAATAAATAAAATAATTAATGTGGATTAAAATAAAAATATTATAAAAAAATTAAAAAAATTGTCGTGTCGCCTACCGTGCCCGTGTCTCCATTTTTTAAAAATTGCCGTGTCCCGTGTCTGTGTGTCCGTGTTCATGTCCGTGCTTCATAGCTTAAAACGGATCCTACATCTAAGAAGACTTGGACTTTCTCTTTTGGGAATTAAAGTTTTGACTTCTAAAATCTAATGTTTCTTAGTTACGAGTCTTATTTGGTAACCAAATAAGACTCATAACTAAGAAACAACCACTTCTTAGGTGCCATATCCATGTTGGACACTTCTTGACACATGTTGATTAACATGTCCAAATCTGTCCTATTGTTTTTTTTCATTTATTTTTAGATCTGAGAACACACTTCAAACGCTTGGGGGACATAAATGTCCATTGCTGAGACACATGAAACATGTTACAAGTTTGAATAAATTAATTTGGGATCTAATGATAATAGAGGAAAAATGTAGATTTATACCTTTTAATACCTCATCCTTTAAACTTTAAAAATTGTGTCATGTTGTATTTTTCTATTATATTTGAATGAAAAAATAAATATATGACATATAATAAATATATAAAACTATATTTAGAGCATGTCCTCCACACGTGTCCTTGTTATGTCATGTGTCTATGCTTCTTAGCTCATTAAAAAAAGACTTAATGACATTACTTGATCCATATGACCTATGGGCGATCCTTATAGTCCACATCTTGAAATTTTGAAATTACTAAAATATTCTATAAAAAGTAAAATTACCAAAATATCCCTGACTTTTACAACTTTTTAAATCATAAGTAAAATTGACTGCAACATTCCAAATCCACATATAAACTTCAGACTTTTATTGGCACAAAGGTGACTATGTAAGTCCAAATAGGGCCCGATCTCTCCCGACTTCTTTTTTCTTTTTGGGGTGTGTGCGTGTGTGCATGCATGCCCGTGCATGTTGGTAAGTAAAACATTTTGTTAAGTTAGAGGCACCAAAGGAACTCATCTAGCAGCCCATGAAATATTGATAATGGCCTAGTAAATATTAGGGAAAGCCAGCTCTCTCCCACACTGACAATTGCTCCAAAACTTGTACTCTCTATTACTAAATATATAATAGTAAGAGAAAGCTTCCTAGCCCTTACAAATTCCTTTCCACCACCCTTTTCAATACATCTCCCTTTCATAGCATACCTTCACAACCATTTCCCAAGACAGACATGATTGTCGAGAGCAAGCCTGTGGATACCCAATCCTAGGAAGCATGGACACCTTGCCGGAGACAGCGTACAAGTGTCCGACACGCGTTGGACACTACTAGACATGTCCCATGTTTTTTTTTAAAATTTTTCCAGCCGGACACGTTTTTGATACACCAAGACACGTTTGGACAATCTGTAACAAGATAAGATAAAGCTTGGAAAATAAAGGGGTGGATCGAAGCCCTAACCCGTCGGGGAGAGAGAGAGAGCCCTAACTTGTTCTTCGTTCTTCGTTTTTCGTTTTGTTCTTTTCTTTGATTTGTTTCTTTTGTTCTTCATTTTTACTCTGTCTTCTTCGTTTTTCTTCCTCTGTTACCTTCGTTTTTCTTCCTCGTATGTCTCTTCGTTTTCTTCCTCTCTTCTTTGTTTTCTATTCTTTACCAAGTCAGTGGAAATTTTAATGTATATAAAATAGGTTTGTGGGGGCCCACTAAAAATCACCATCCCACGAAGCCACCACCATCCCACTAACATCACTAATGCATTCATCTTCATACATTTTCCATTATAATATTATATACATAATATTTTAATAGTAAAATACTTCACACCAACAAAAATCTTTTGGTACTATGTTTATTAATTTTATTATTATTATAATTTTATAAGAACCAATATTTGATTCTTAAATATGGCATTGGCTTTTATATTATTTTGTATTTTTAATTACCTTCTAATGATTTTTTATTTTTATTTTAGACATATAATAAATAAATATAATTTTATATATTGAGCGTGTTCCCAGAGTGTCGTGTCCCCCATTTTTTTAAAATTTACGTGTCTGCGTGTCCGTATCGTGTTTTGTGTCCTTGTCTGTCTCTGTGCATCATAGCCCAAATCCCTTTACCTGGCTCCAATCCCTTTGTAGCATGCATCTTTCTCACTACCTCAACCCATGTCATTAGGTTTCCTCTTGTCCTTATGATTGTCGAAATTGTCCTTATTTTTGCCACCTTTATGAGTAATGGTTTCTTTGGGTTACAATTTATACTTACCAAATGAGATTTACAATTAAACTATAGGAGTGGCATGCGCAATGTGCATGGATTTTATCTCACCCTCGTTCGTTTTTTGTCGTTTTTATTGTTGTAAGAAAATATCTCGTTCTTTGCACTATTAATAGCCTCTTCCTCAGTGATGACAAGTATGGGAGGAAGAAAAAGGGTAAATATGAAAATTCACATTTAGTACGCATAGAGTTTTAACTTTTATACAATCTTGTTTAGGATAATTTTTCTTATTTTTAATGTATATTTTAGGTTAGAATGTTTCTCAATATATTAAGTAGTGCTTTATTAGGTTTTAGTAGTTAGTATTTTGATATTTTTTCTTATTTTAGGTTAGAATGTTTTTTGTTAGGCAGCTCCCTTAGCTATCTATTGATTCTTTCCTTATTTGTATATTTGCAAATATTCTGTTACATATATTTAGGCCTAGATTTAGGATTATGTTTGATTATGATTAGACCTAATCTCTGTAATGCCTTTTTTATACTCATTGTAACAACTATATATACCTCTATTGAGGTGAATACAATTACTGAATTCTCAAATCCTTACATGGTTTCGAAGGGTCTCACGACCTAACCTTCCACCTTTGCCTTTCTGTTTCTGTTTTTGTTTTTGTTTTTGTTTTTTTTTTCTTTTTTCCCGTAGCTTTCTGTGAGTTGAGTTACCTCTGCCCTCCACAATTTTCCTTCCCCTAATCAGCTGCCCAATCCTCTGTTGTTGTTGGGTCCGTTCTTCTCTGATTCAACAACTTATTTTCTTCTCTATTTGTTGTGCCATTATATCTACCTCCTGTTCATCTGGTTCTATAGTCTCTAGGTCTACATTTTCAGCTCCTCACATCACCAAGTTAGTGACTATGAAATTAATTGATTCCAACTATCTTCTGAAGCCCTTTCTTGTTGGCCAGAATTTTTGGCGTTTTATTGATAGATCCTATCCTCAACCCTCGAAGTTTCTCCCAACCATTGCAGGATGACCTATTGTCCGTAACCCTGAGTATTTGTTTTGGTTTCATATCGATCAAACACTTATTAGTCTCCTTAATGTTACTTTATCTAAGCCCATTCTAGGCTTGGTTGTTGGTCTTCACACTTAACGAGCTATTTGGAGCTGTCTAGATCATCAATTTTCCCAGCAATTTGTTGCTTGCGTGTCTACCCTTCGATTTCGCTTATTGTCTCTTACTAAGGACAATTGGTCCATCTCTAACTATCTACGCTATGCCAAGTCCTTGGCTTTAATTGGCCAACCGGTGTCCAACGATGATTCAGTGACTTATGTTCTTCGTGGTTTGGGCCCGGGCTATGAGATGATTATGATTGCCACCCTATACTTTCCCTCCATTACCTTCGTTTCAGGACCTTCGTGCTTGCCTCCTATCCTTTGAGGCTCAAGCATTTGTTGCTATTCTATCTCTACAAATTGCTCTTTTGGCCCAATAGTATCGTGGTAACCAAACCCATCCTAGTTCTGGACAAGGCACTAGTTTTGGTAATCGTGGGGGACATAATAGGAATCAAAATCGCAACAAGGGTTGTCACAATCATAGCAATCGTGGTTCCGGAGCTCATCAAGGTTCTACTGGATCTTCGAGTTCCTTTTGTTAGTTGTGCAATGGTGTTGTGCACATGGCTCTTCAGTGTCCTAGATGGTGTACTTGCCCACCTGTTGACTCTCTTCATACTGCCTTTTCTGGTCTTCAATTGACACAACAATCTCCTCCATTGACTTACCCTCCCCAAGCTTATCAGCAACAGGCCTCTCCATCACCCTTTCAACAATCCCATTTGTCTTATCAGCCCGAGACAGCTTATGACCCAAACTATTATCTTGACACTGGTGCTACCCACCACATGGCTAAAGATGCTCGTCCTCTGTAGAATCGTACTCGTTAAACTGGATCAAATTTAGTTTTTCTTGGCAACGGTGATAATCTTCCTATCACCCACACTGGTAACATGTCTTTATCCCTCGGTTCTTCTTTATTTCAGCTTTCCAATGTTTATCATGTTCTCGCTATGCAGAAAAACCTTGTATTGATTGCTTGATTTACTATGGATAATCATGTCTCACTTGTCTTTGATGCTAATCATTGTTACATTTTGGACTTGACCTCTGGTGCTCTTCTATTTCAGGCCCTATGTAGGGATGATCTCTATCCTCTATATGTTCATCCTGTTCCACAAGCTTTTGCTTCTACTATCTTGCCCTCATCAGTTTGGCACAGTCGCCTTGGTCATCCATCCCACAAGGTTTTGTCTTATTTAGGGTCCAATAAAATGTTATCTTCTGATTTTCGCTTTCAAAAATCCTTTTGTAAGGGATGTGCATTGGGTAAATCCACACCTCTTTCCTTTTCCATCAATAATGAAATAAGTGCCTTTGCTCCTTTTGAATTAGTTCATTATGATGTTTGGCAATCTCTAGTTCTTTCAGTATCTAGATATGAATATTATGTCTTATTTACTGATGATTTCATGCGTTACACTTGGATTTATCCTATGCGTCACAAATCAGAGGTTATTATCCATTTTAAAACCTTTCTTGCATTTGTTAAAAATCATTTTGATAGTTCTCTAAAATCTTTTCAAAGTGATGGAGGAACAGAGTATGTTAATTCTTCGGTTTTTGAATTATGCATGACTCTAGGGATTCACCATCGCCTTTCATGTCCTCACACTCTAGAACAAAATGGTCTAGCTGAACGCGAGCATCGCCACATCCTTGAAATGGCCCGTACTCTTCTTGTATCTAGTTGTGTCCCCCTCGATCTTTGGGTTAAAGCAGTGTCCGTTGTGCTCTATCTTATTAATCGCCTTCCCACTCCAGTCTTGCAATGGGAATATCCTTTTTCTCGTTTGTTTGGTCATCCACCATGTTAAACTATTCTTCGTGTCTTCGGGGGTGCCTGTTACCCATATCTTGGTGCTTATGTTACTAACAAACTATTGCCAAGATCTATTGAATGTGTTTTCATAGGTTACAACTTGCAGCACAGGGATATTGATGCCTTGATCCCAGTAACCAATAGGTTCAACATGTCCTGTCATATATGCTTTGATGAGGCAACATTTCCTTACACTCAAAGGCAATCTGTATCCCGCTCTCAAGAAACTTTATATCTTACCTTTGTGATTGTCCTTCCTCTAGCAGCTACATGTCAGTGTACTCACAATCCACCTCTCCAGCAAGTCCCTAATGCATCCACCTCAGATTCTCCCATTTCCAGTATTCCTGCGTCCAGGCTTATTGAACGTTTTCCACAACGCTATCAGCGCTGTTCCTCTCCTATGCTAGATTTACCTTCAACAACTCCTAGTTCACACTCCATGCCTAGCTCTCCACCAGCACCATCGGGCTCTTTACCTGATGGGTCCTCTTCAAACCTTGGGTCATCTTTGTCAACACCTATTCAAATACATCCCATGGTCACTTGTCTTCGTGATGAGATCCAGAGACCATTGGTTCGCACGGATGGCACTGTGCGCTATCCTTTACCACGTGCCCTTGCAGCTTAGCTTTCCTCTTCTACTGAGGTGCCTACTTGTTTTTCTCAAGCTGCTCGATATCCGGAATGGCGGGCTGCTATGACCGATGAATTTAATGCTTTACGTGAAAATCAAACTTGGACCTTGGTTCCTCATTCCTCGCGTCAGAATGCAGTTGGTTGCATATGGGTTTTCAAGATTAAACGCTTAGCAGATGGTTCTATTGAACGTTACAAGGCTCGCTTAGTGGCTAAGGGTTTTCATCAGCAACATGGCCTTGATTATGATGAGACATTCAGCCCCATGGTTAAGCTAACCACTATTTCATACTATTGTTAGCTTGGCCGTTTCTTCTGGTTGGTCTCTACGATAATTGGATGTCAAGAACGTTTTTTTGCATGGATTTCTTCAAGAGACTATTTTTATGACTCAACCGGCGGGGTTTGTAGACCCCCAATGTCCTAATCACATCTGCCAACTTCGTAAGGCTATCTATGGTCTCAAACAAGCACCTCACACTTGGTTTCAACGGTTCTGCTCCTTTATTATTTAGTATGGTTTCACTCAAAGCCAAGCTGACCACTCCATGTTGGTATATCGATGCTTGTCTCAAGTTATGATTCTCCTATTGTATGTGGATGACATTGTGCTTACCGGAAATGAGTCATCTCTGCTCTCCTCCTTTGTTTCTACTACTACTCCTGGCACCGAGTTTGAGATAAAAGATCTTGGCTCCCTTCACCACTTTTTGCGTCTTGAGGTGTCCTCACTAGGTTTTGGCCTACACTTATACCAAACTAGGTATATTATTGATCTTTTGTGCTGCAGTGTGCAAAAACCCAACTCTTTGACCTGGAGGAGGATCCCTTGTCTGATGCTACCCAGTATCATCACCTGATTGGTTTGCTACAATACCTGACCCTGACTTGTTTAGACATTGCGTTTGCGGTTCATCATGTTGCTCACTTCATGAGTACCCCTCGAACCACACATCTTGCTACTGTTAAGCGCATTCTACGCTATCTCAAAGGCACTTTATATATTGGATTAGTTTTTTGCCCTTCCTCTGGTCCTCTAGCTCTTCATGCCTACTCTGATGCTGACTGGGTTGAATGTCCTGATACTCGGCGATCCACTTCAAGCTATTGTATCTTCTTAGGTCCAAACCTCATCTCTTAGAGTTCCAAGAAACAGTACTGTTTCTCATTCAAGCGCCTAGTCAGAGTACCGGTCCCTAGCTTGTGTAAGTGTTGAGACGGTTTGGATTATGCACCTTCTTCGTGAGTTACACTTACCTTATTCCACACTTGTCATGCTCTACTGTGATAACGTTAGCACCACATACATGGCTTCCAATCTTGTTTTCCATGCACACGCCAAACATATTGAGCTTGATTATCATTTCATTTGTGAACTTGTACAATCTGGCAGCCATCACGTTCAGTTTGTTCCATATGTTGATCAGATTGCTGATCTCTTCACTAAGGGCCTTCACAGGCATCGCTATGAGCTTCTACATTCCAAGCTTGTCCTTCCTAGGCCGTCGAGTTTGCGGGGGAGTGTTAGGCAGCCCCCTTAGTTGTCTATTGATTCTTTCCTTATTTGTATATTTCCAAATATTCTATTACATATATTTAGGCCTAGATTTAGGATTATGTTTGATTATGATTAGACCTAATTTCTGTAACGCCTTTTTTATACTCATTGTAACAACTATATATACCTCTATTGAGATGAATTCAATTACTGAATTCTCAAATCCTTACAGTTTTATTTGGTTTTAGTAGTTAGTATTTTGATATTTTTTCTAATTATTGGACATGGGCTACAGGAGTTGCCAATGGGTAATCTTATGGCTCAAACTATGTTGTAGGATCATTATGTGGTTTCATTAGGGCCTAGAATAGTTTAGTAGTCAAAGTTGAAGTATCTTAGTCTTTAAATTCTAATCCGAGTAGGAATTAAGAGAGCCAGGAGGCAGTAGCCTTTAAATACACATGTAATCTTGCTAATCTGTAGGGTTTTTTTACACCCCTAATTGTTATTGCAAATTAAAGTTTAATGACTGATTTGTGGAAAGAGTTGTCTTCACTTGGAGAATCTGATTTTCCAAAAATGTCATGCAGGGCAGGTCTGCCCCCTTTTTTAGTAGAATTAGAAGATGAACTTTATGGTGAAGAGTCACCTTGTTATAGAAAGGGGCTTTCCAAGACTACTGGGGGCTGTTGAGGCCTTCTTGGAGATGATAATATTACTAATACTTTCTTGCCAACATTTTTCCAGAAGAGCATATTGCCCGAGTTTATGATATTGCCTTTACTTTTTATTGGCACAAAATAGTATTTCTTCTGTTTAAAAATCTGGAAGAATCTCTTTTTGGCTGAGTTCTGATGCAAGTAACTAAGAGTAGGCTTTGCAACATGTATTTGTAGATACCCATCTCGAACACGCTTACAGAAAGACTTTTCACCATGCTATTTTGACAATTTTTTTGCCCGTTTCAGGTACTACAAAGGGAAGCAAGGTTAGGTTGATGTTCATGTGAGTTTGGCTAGTTAGCAAATGGTTCTATTGAATGTTACAAGGTTCGCTTAGTGGCTAAGGGTTTCATCAGCAACATGGCCTTGATTATGATGAGACATTCAGCCCCATGGTTAAGCTAACCACTATTTCATACTATTGTTAGCTTGGCCGTTTCTTCTGGTTGGTCTCTACGATAATTGGATGTCAAGAACGTTTTTTTGAATAGATTTCTTGAAGTGACTGTTTTTATGACTCAACCGGCAGGGTTTGTAGACCCCCAATGTCCTAATCATGTTTGCCAACTTCTTAAGGCTATCTATGGTCTCAAACAAGCACCTCGCTCTTGGTTTCAACAGTTCAGCTCCTTTATTATTCAGTATGGGTTCACTCAAAGCCGAGCTGACTGCTCCATGTTGGTATATCGATCCTTGTCTCAAGTTATGATTCTCCTATTGTATGTGGATGACATTGTGCTTACCGGAAATGAGTCATCTCTGCTCTCCTCCTTTGTTTCTACTCCTGGCACTGAGTTTGAGATAAAAGACCTTGGCTCCCTTCACTACTTTTTGGGTCTTGAGGTGTCCTCACTTGGTTCTGGCCTACATTTATCCCAAACTAGGTATACTATTGATCTTTTGTGCCACAGTTCTATAGTGGAGTGCAAATCGTGCAATACTCCATTAAGTGCAAAAACCCAACTCTCTGCCCTAGAGGGGGATCCCCTTTCCGATGCTACCGAGTATCGTCACCTGGCTGGTTCTCTACAATACCTGACCTTGACTCTAACTCGTCCAGACATTGCCTTTGCGGTTCATCATGTTGCTCAGTTCATGAGCACCCTCCGAACCACACATCTTGCTACTGTTAAGCGCATTCTACGCTATCTCAAAGGCACTTTAGACATTGGGTTAGTTTTTTGCCCTTCCTCTGGTCCTTTAGCTCTTCATGCCTACTCTGATGCTGACTGGGCTGGATGTCTTGATACTTGGCGATCCACTTCAGGCTATTGTATCTTCTTAGGTCCAAACCTCATCTCTTGGAGTGCCAAGAAACAGTACTATTTCTCATTCTAGGGCTGAGTCAGAGTACCGGTCCCTAGCTTGTGTAAGTGTTGAGACGGTTTGGATTATGCACCTTCTTCGTGAGTTACACTTACCTTATTCCACACTTGTCATGCTCTACTGTGATAACGTTAGTGTTAGCATATTATATTAAGTGATAGCATTTTGTATTCGCCGAAAGGCACACTAGGGTCTGTCTGTAATCACTGTAATCAGCACTCAGGGATAGCACTCAGGGATCATCTTGTAAATTGCATTTCTTGTAAACCCTAATCATCTTTTATAAATAGGGGGTGATATTCTATCATTCCCCAAGCTGGTTACCCAAGCTTCATGGTATCAGAGCTACACCTCTAGGGTTAGGGTTCAAAACCGTACCTAGTTGGATCATCTGCTTCGTC